CGGTTAGATCGTATGTTTACAGGTTACAGCAAAGGCAGCAGCAGCGTCAGCGTCACCGTCAGATGGAGAGGATTGTAGCGCTGATATTTTGGACACTGATAGGGGCTATAGAGACAGTCCAGCAGCAGCAACAGCGCGCTCAAAGGTATACAACGTTGAATTGTACTGTTTTGTATACGGCTAACGGTAATTAACATGGGTTAGATCGTATGTTTACAGGTGTCATACAAAACAGCAAAGGCAGCAGCAGCGTCAGACTGGAGAGGATTGTGGAGCTGATATTATGGAGCGTAGACCCTCACTGATGGCCTGTAGTTTGGTAAGATATGCTGCTTGCTAGAGTTATATAATAAACTACTACTACTAAAACACTAACATTCTAACATACTAACTACTAAAACAACATTTATCATTTGACTATATACATTATACATTATATTTACATATATTAGCGCTCCGGCTGCTGCTGCTGCTGCTCTAATGGAGCGCGTGTTATCTTAACTTGCAGACCCGTGATTCCACCGTCCCCCAACACACACACACACACACACATACACACACACACACACACACACACACACACACACACACACATACATACACACACACACACATACAGCCAGCTGCTCGGCTCACCCGCACGTGTCTCCCTACACCCCTCCCTCTGTCTCCTGCACCCCTTCCTCTGTCTCCCTACACCCTCCCTCCGTCTTCTGCCCCCTCCCTCCGTCTTCCGCACCCCTTCCTCCGTCTCCCGCACCTCCCTACACCCTCTCTCCGTCTCCCGCACCCTCCCTCCGTCTCCCGCACCCTTCCTCTGTCTCCCTACACCCTCCCTCCGTCTTCTGCCCCCTCCCTCCGTCTCCCGCACCCTCCCTCCGTCTCCCGCACCTCCCTACACCCTCCCTCCATCTCCCGCACCCTCCCTCCGTCTCCCGCACCTCCCTACACCCTCTCTCCGTCTCCCGCACCCCTTCCTCTGTCTCCCGCACTCCTCCCTCTGTCTCCCGCACCTCTTCCTCTGTCTCCCGCACCCCTTCCTCTGTCTCCCGCACCCCTTCTTCTGTCTCCCGCACCCCTTCCTCTGTCTCCCGCACCCTTTCCTCTGTCTCCCGCACTCCTTCCTCTGTCTCCCGCACCCTCCCTCTGTCTCCCGCACCCCTTCCTCTGTCTCCCTACACCCTCCCTCTGTCTCCCGCCCCCTCTCTCCGTCTCCCGCACTCCTCCCTCCGTCTCCCGCACTCCTCCCTCCGTCTCTCGCACTCCTCCCTCCGTCTCCCGCACTCCTCCCTCCGTCTCCCGCACTCCTCCCTCCGTCTCCCGCACTCCTCCCTCTGTCTCCCGCACTACTCCCTTCGTCTCCTGCACCCCTTCCTCTGTCTCCCGCACCCCTTCCTCTGTCTCCCGCACCCCTTCCTCTGTCTCCCACATCCCTCCCTCTGTCTCCCGCACCCTCCCTCCGTCTCCCGCACCCCTTCCTCTGTCTCCCGCACCCCTCCCTCCGTCTCCCACACCCCTTCCTCTGTCTCCCACACCCCTCCCTCTGTCTCCCACACCCCTTCCTCTGTCTCCCGGTCCCCTCCCTCTGTCTCCCGCACCCCTTCCTCTGTCTCCCGCACCCCTCCCTCTGTCTCCCACACCCCTCCCTCTGTCTCCCGCACCCTCCCTCCGTCTCCCGCACCCCTCCCTCTGTCTCCCGCTCCCCTCCCTCTGTCTCCCACACCCCTTCCTCTGTCTCCCCTCCCTTCCTCCCCTCCCTTCATTGAATCTCCGACTGTGATCAGTAATCACTAATCAATGTGTCGTTAATGTTAGCATCGCAGCGGCATTCTGTGCGCATGGTGCACAACGGTGAGAGTAGAGAGGTGTGCTTCACGGTTGTTGCCACGGCAACGCTCAGATGATGTGGAGGCTGTGATCGTAAACGGTGAGAGTAGAGAGGTGTGCTTGACGGTTGTTGCCACGGCGACGCTCGAAGAGAAAAAAGACCGTAGTTCCATTGCTGATGTAGATTCCATGTAGATTCCAGTGAGCACGGTGTAGGTACTGACTTACTGTTCCCACTCAAAATAACCATCACAATCCTAACGCCTGATTATAATTCGAGCATTCATACTTCCACCGACCAAGATTGTATTGACTTTTTAGTCACAGTGGTTGCATGAGTAACGGCCCAAGCCTAGTTTAGCACCGCGGATTAGTTTCGCATATATATGCGAAAACACATTTGCGTGGTCCCAAACTATCTTTGATCCTGAATTAGTGCGGCAATATTTTATTGCTATACTCTGTTTACAAATTAACAATTACATCTTGCACATGCCAGCTCATCATTTTGCTGGCAGCTAGTGCAATCGATACAGTTGCGGTTGTGATCATAATCTTCAATATGATCAGAGTGATCAGATATTAACGTGGCCGAAGTAGCAAAGATACATTGATACTGATTCAGACAGCGTGGCTAGCATGTGTACTGGGAGCCGGATGGTGAATTGGGCCCAATTGCGTGCAAGCAATCTGCCTGCGCATTCCCAATCCTTGACTGTGGACCTGAACATTGCAAGTTACACTTGCTACGGCACGGTTGGGACGTTTCCGTTGCGAACATGGGAGGGAGTGTGATATTCTATATATTGGTGTCGACCGTGTCGTAGATCTCTGCTGCTAGATTTCTCTTACTACTACTGCTAGCGGTAATGTTGTTTACATTTTTCTCATTGATGTATTATACACGGTGACTGCATCCATTACTATTCCATGTCACTGCTATATAATGTGCAGTTTTATCGCACCGTCAGAGTGCTAGCTACGATGGCCCCCCCCACCCATTTATTAAAAAAATAAGATTTCATTGGGTAGAGTTCATCTGTGTTGTATAGCTTGTTATGTCACTGAGCTCATTCTCATGGGCTTCTTGTTGCATCGGTGTATGCGGACCAAATACATGTCTACACCGTGCTGTATCGTTACCCTTTCTTATGATACATGTCCACACGATAGTGTGTGAGTACGTTCTGCTGTAAGTACATGTTTACACCACGACGGATGTATCGTTACATTCTGCTACAAGTGCATATTGGTATCATTCTGTGTCGTCACAATCTCAGGGTGCGAAATTAACGCGAGTCCGGAGTCAAATACTCCATGATTTACTGTCCGACTTCCTGATTTGACATATGCTGGAGTCCGTGTGACTCCCTGAAAATTCTGCTATACTAACTAGCTTGTTCCAGAGCACGCCCTCCTTATTATTTCTACGGGAATTTACCGTATTTTTCAGCAAATGTCCAAAGAAATTTTCACAGACGTGCAACTGCATGAATCTTCAAAATAAGAGCACATGCGTTATTGTTAATATCTTTAGGTTTTAACTTCCGACTGCGGACTCCCTCATTTTGCTGCGGACTCCCTCTTTTTGAGGGAGTCCGTTTTACAGAGGGAGTCCCTTTTACAGGGAGTCCGTTGGACTGCCTTGTTCATAAGGTAATTTCTACCCCTGCATTCTGCTACAAGCACACATTTATATCATGCTGGGCCGTTACATTGTGCTATAAATATGTAATTATATCATGCTGTGTCGGTATCAGCTGCTGTTGCTACTGCTGCTGGTGTTGCTGCTACTACTGCTATCTAGAGACTGCACATTTCCGCTTCAAAATTTGCCAAATTCCGTTTCGGAGACTTCAATTCCGTTTCAGCAAAATTTTTTTATTCTCCGCCACTAGATGTCACTACATTACCACTAGATGTCACTAGCATACTGTACAATACATCACAACTGTCTATGTCAGTGTTCTCAATGGGAGTGGGGCTGTCTAATAATGTATAATTTTTTTTGGATCTGTAATTTCTTTTGAAGGGTTAAAGTGATGAATGTAAGATAAATTCTCATAATCATCTTGTGTGTGTTGGGAGTGATTTGAGCTGTTTTAAAAGTTATTTTTGTGTTTTGGAAGGTTATGGTGATTCCGTTTCAGAGGGGGTGATTTCGTGATTTCCGTCCATTTTACGTTTTTATGGAAATGTGCAGTCTCTACAGTGCTACTACTGCTGCTGCTGCTGCTGCTGCTGCTGCTGCTGCTGCTGCTGCAGCTGCTGTTACTGCTGCTACTAAGTACTGCTGCTGTTACTACTACTGCTGCTGAATAACAGCTGCTGCTGCTGCTGCTGCTGCTGCTGTTACTACTTCTGCTGCTACTGCTACTGCTACTACTACTACTGCTGCTGCTGCTGCTGCTGCTACTGCTACTGCTACTGCTACTGCTACTACTACTACTGCTGCTGCTGCTGCTGCTACTACTGCTGCTACTGCTGCTACTACTACTACTGCGACTGCTGTTGCTGCTGCTGCTGCTGTTACTGCTGCTGCTGCTACTGCTACTGCTGCTGCTGCTGCTGCTGCTGTTACTACTGCTACTGCGACTGCTGCTGCTGCTGCTGCTGTTACTGCTGCTGCTGCTACTGCTGCTGCTGCTGCTGTTACTACTTCTCCTGCGGTTGCTAGGGGGAACACTGCTTACGCCAGGCGGTGTTGTATTTGTCATCACAGGGTAGTACCAGGGTCCTTTACTGTCCTTATCACTCTACACCTATTAACCTATATTACTACGAGATTGTGACGAGCCCCAACACGTCTGAGGGGGGATATATACATTTCATCAGGAGTGTATAATATAGAGATATTATACGCTCCTGATAACAGCATACAACTGTGTGTGCGCAAAGCTTGACGCAGCCTCGGCCCGTCTAGTAGTTAGCATTGCGGATGTCCAGGTTGGCAGCTTCAGCCTACACACGCGTGGTGACCTTGGGGAGATTCACTGAGCTTCCCCCCAACGGCGTGTCCACGTGCACATGAAGCTTGCCGCCACCTTGACATTTATAGGAGTCACCTTTGCTGGCGTGGATGTCAGAAGTTTCAGCCCTTGACCACGTGCACACGCCGACCATGTTTGACCCACGCCGTGTCCACGTGTACAATTCGTGTGCAAAACCACGCTGGCCTGAATGGTATATAAGGAGGAGCATTTGTAACAGTTAACGTTTTTAGTTGTAGCAGCGGTACACTCAGCTACGGGTCGTAAGTATATACGTCATTAAATTGTATCGTGTTTACCGTGTTTGAACTTAGTTCAGCTTAGCTTTACTCGAAATCATTCTGTATTGTTCCAGATAGAGCAGACGAGCTCCAGCTAGCTTCGTCGAGGGATCGTACTACACACACTCTAAGACCGGTATCAAAGGTTGCAGGTATATGTCGTTGAATTGTACTGTTTTGTACGGGTAACGGTAATTAACACGGGTAAGATCATATGTTTACAGGTGTCATACACAACAGCGACGGCAGCAGCAGCGTCAGCATCAGATGACAGACTCACACCGGAGAGGATGGTGGAGCTGATATTATGGAGCTTTGAGTGGACCCGCACTGATAGAGGCTAGAGACAGTCCAGCAGCAACAGCAAACTTCAAAGGTATCAACGTTACAGGTATACGTCGTTGAATTGTACTGTTTTGTACGGGTAACGGTAATTAACACGGATAAGATCGTATGTTTACAGGTGTCATACACAACAGCGACGGCAGCAGCAGCGTCGGTGTCAGATGACAGACTCGCACCCGAGAGGATGGCGGAGCTGATATTATGGAGCTACTGGACTCCCGATCTAGTGTAAGTGGCGCTTCTTCTTGCTAGCGTTATAATAAAGCGTTACTAGCACTGCTAACAACTACTAAAACAACATTTATCATTTAACTTTTTAATTTTACATGATTAAATTTTACATTGCTCCATTCTACGTATTGCTCCATGTGATTTGGCTTCGTTGTTTGCTGCTCCTGTTGTATCAATGTTTCCAGGGTGATCGAGTCATCCCAGATTGATTGAGTCATCCCAGTCATCCAGGTCTCTCTCCACGACAGAATCACTTGACGACTCCACGAGCAGATTGCGTGAGCAGAGCACATATTCGCGATTCGTATTATCGTTTATTCGTATTATCGTTTATTCGTATTGCGGCTCGTTATTCGCGTATTGCCGCTCGTTATTCGCGTATTGCGGCTCGTTATTTCGCAAAAATTAAACCACCGCGAGATATACAGCGTATACAGTAGGGTAAATAAACCTTTCACTGTGTTATGGCTTTTGGTTTTTTTGTAAGTTGTTTGTTGTGGTTGGTTGTTAAGGTTTTGCCACGAGGGTTACGTGGTTGGCCACGAGGTTACATGTTTTGGCTACGAGGTTACAAACCCCTACCCCTACCCCTTACCTCTAAACTCTACCTTAAACCCTTCGCCTTCAACCCCTTGCCTCTAAACTCATGACGTCTAAACTCTACCTTAAACAATATCAGTGTTCTCAATGGGAGTGGCTGTCTAATAATGTATAATTTTTTTTGGATCTGTAATTTCTTTTGGAGGGTTAAAGTGATGAATGTAAGATAAGTTTTCATAATCATTTTGTGTGTGTTGGGAGTGATTTGAGCTGTTTTAAGAGTTATTTTTGTGTTTTGGAAGGTTATGGTGATTCTGTTTCAGAGGGAGTGATTTCGTGATTTCCTTCCATTTTCCGTTTTCATGGAAATGTGCAGTCTCTACAGTGCTACTACTGCTGCTGCTGCTGCTACTGCTGCTGCTGCTGCTGCTGCTGCTGCTGCTGCTGTTACTGCTGCTACTACTACTACTGCTGCTACTACTGCTGCTGCTGCTGCTGCTGCTGCTGTTACTACTTCTGCTGCTGCTACTACTGCTACTGCTGCTGCTGCTGCTGCTGTTACTACTGCTACTGCGACTGCTGTTGCTGCTGCTGTTGCTGCTGTTGCTGTTACTACTGCTACTGCGACTGCTGTTGCTGCTGCTGCTGCTGCTGCTGCTGCTGCTGCTGTTGCTGCTGCTACTGCTGCTACTGCTGCTGCTGCTGCTGCTGCTGTTACTACTGCTACTGCTGCTGCTGCTGCTGCTGTTACTGCTGCTGCTGCTGCTGCTGTTACTGCTGCTGCTGCTACTGCTACTGCTGCTGCTGCTGTTACTACTGCTCCTGCGGTTGCTAGGGGGAACACTGCTTACGCCAGGCGGTGTTGTATTTGTCATCACAGGGTAGTACTGCTCATAGGGTCTATGCCCCCCAGGGTACTGCCGGAACGTACCCTGGGTACGGTCAGGTATACCGGAATGTACCCTGGTAACTATTTGATATGGTTAGGGTTAGGGTTAAGGTTAGGGTTAGGGTTTAAGGGAGTAGGCGTAGGCGACTCCCTAGACTCATTAGTGGAGTAGGCGAGGTACGGTGCGGCATGATATTAGATAGTACCAGGGTATGTTCCGGTATACCGGACCGTACCCTGGGTACGTTCCGGCAGTACCCCGGGGGACATAGACCCTCTCAGCGGTAGTAGGACGTTCCTTTACTGTCCTTATCACTCTACACCTATTAACCTATATTACTACGAGATTGTTACAAGCCCCCCCATCCGCGGTCACTTGTCTCTGATCCAGGCACCTAGTAGCTATTGCACTCATACTCATAGGCGGGAGTTGAGAAGAACTTGGATAGTCGGGACTGGAGCAGAGCTCATGGCAAGCAGATAGGGGTGTAACGATTCACAGACACATAGATGAATCACGATACGATAATCGATACGCAGCGTCTATATCGTGATACATGCGATACGGATGTTAAAGAGTGAATAAGACAAGCTAAACTATTTAATAAAGCACTCGTAATCCCGTTTAAATTGAATTATTTATTTTATTTTGCGAGCTCCTTCTCAGGCATCACGCAAATATCATCGGCTGTCGTAGAGATCTGTGGTACGGCCAAAATTGTTGCCAAAATTGTTACCGCAAAACAATCGAGGGAAAAAATATTCAATTTACAGTCCATGAGCAAAACAACTTTTCATTACCAAATTGGGGGCAAATGCTACCATGCATTTTCTGAAAGCCCTTGGTGTGTAGATCAAGAAAATATGTGATAGCCTTCTCAGATCAGTAGCTTAAGGGGGTCGCGTGACTTTAAAGTCAGTAATTTATGCAAGTTTGGCTGATTTATACTAAATCTTTAAAAAATCATATCTCGTTCCGATTGCAAGGTAATTCTGTCGTCTCTTCAACTATTAGTTAGGTTTATGGTGAGGTTCATCTTTGCAACAAAGGTTTTTGATTATGGTATGTTGAAGTCACTTGACAATAATATTATTTCTCAAAAATACGTAAAATTATAGGAAATGTATCATTATACTTTAAATGATCCACGAAAATGACTTAATATCACAGTCAGTCACATTAAAAACAATAATTAAGAATTTTGGATTTTATTGTTAATAATCCTGACCGTTTTCTTTTGTATTTTCGTGACATTTGTAGGATTTATATAACATTTTATAAACCGGGTGTAGTTTTGGTCACCCTGTGGTAGAAACAAAGAATTATAAAAACGTCACATGTCAATTGTGGGCGCTGGGGTCATGGACTGTTCTGTCTGTGTGTTGCGGTACATGTATCGTGGCCTACGTATTGAGATACGTATCGTATCATGACCCTAGTGTATCGTTACACCTCTGCAAGCAGAGTGGTGCAGGTAGAGGGAGAGGGTTGAGGACTGAGATGAGCATTCCTTTTCGAAATTGTCGAAATAATTATTGAGCAAAAGTTTAATAAATGTTAAATTTATTTTTTAATTTGCTGGCAGTCGCATCCAATGAGTGTCACGTGCAGCGTATGTAGTCACTGCGTTGCTGGGAAATTTCATTTTTGTATTGTTGTGTATTCCTCTACCTGACAGCTCTGGATAAGATTCGTTAATAATTAATTCATTAATAATTCATTATTAAAAACGTTTTAATTTATAATCGCCACGAGATGGCAGCACGGTGCAGTATATGCAGTGCGGTGTAGAGTGCATGCTTGGCCGTGTATAATATGTAGTTGGAGTAAATATCGTACCATGTTCATCGCGTGTCTGTTGATACATACATATATATATATATATA